AAAAAAAAAAAAAAAAAAAAAAAAAAGCACAACAGCTTCAAAAAAACGACAGATGAATGTAAGAAAAAGCATCTTAAATTATTTAATTCTGCATAGCAGCATCGTCCGGAGGCATCATCACAAGAGCTATCACAAGGAATGCGGGCATCGCGGCAGCCCCACCGGGATGGAAAAAAGCAGCAAAATGAAAAACGTGAGGCCCAATTATTTTGTATGCATCCCCCTGTCAGGGAACAAAGCCTTAGTGGAAGAATTGCTCAAAGTGCAAAACCACGTCGCTTCGAAATTTGAAATGCTCAAAGAATGTGCAATAGAGAGAAACAAGTTTCACATATCTCTCCTCATTTTACACGTGAAGAAGTCCCAAATGGAGTCCTGCAAGGAAGCCTTCCACGAAGCTATGGAGGAAATTAAAAAGATGAACCATCAAGCCATTTCGTTCGACACACTGGAAACGTTTCGAAACGACGTGTTGTATGCAGGACTGCAGGAGGACAGCCGGAAGTACATAATGAATATGATAGATCTCCTGAGGGACTCCTTCGCCAAGAGGGACATACACATTTTCAGCAACCGCAAGGGTAAGGAGGAGGCCCAGGAGAAGAAGCGCCCGAGCGGCTCAATCGAAAAAAGTACAGCCAAACCCAGCACACACCAAAGCGGAGACAAGGAACAAATAACTCCCCATTTGACCATCATGAAAAACTCCTACCTAAGAAAAATTTACGTCAACAGGAAGCCGCAGATTTTTCCCGACTACTACGCCGACTTCAACTTGTCCAAACTGCAAAATGAGCGCGTCGTGCCAAACAAAATACAGTTCCTCGAAATGGACACAGACTCGGCAACGTCGTATTATAGAATCATCGCTGAATGTGGCCTTCCTTAAGTTGGTACGCACTCCTCCAGTGCGGAGGATTTATGCGTTCACACTTTTGCAACAGTCGCAGCTAGCCATTTGTCCTTTTTTTTTTTTGTTCATATTTTTTTTTTTTGTTCATATTTTTTTTTTTTCGCGTGTGCAAATTTGCACACATGGAAAATTGGTGGTTAGTGTTTTGCTCTACATGTTTGAAGGGATCCCCCCAAATGGTTGTCCAACTTGTGGAGTGAACGTGTCCATTTTGTAATTTTACTCCATTTTGTGAATGATGAGGGGAGGGAGGGGACACTAATCCATCTTTCTCACATGTGATTAATGGAAAACAGAGAAAGGAACAGTTGGGAGACGTGTTCCTATATGCGAAGGAGCACTTTTGTGGAAGAGCTTATCTTGTGAGGATGCATCGTGTTGTGTATGTACAATCCTCTGGAGAGGCACTCACCCCTGTGTATGTGTTTGTGGCGAAGGAAATAATTAGTGATTTTTTACACACTTTTTCGTCCATTCCGTGTTGTGATTTATTCAAGGGAGTCTTTCCACCGCGTCAAGTCTCTTTTCCTTCACTTTTCAGTCACACGTGTATAAGTGTTGCGTCAGTTTGTTTGAACGAGTTACTACGTGTGCATGTCCATTACTTCCGTTTGGTTGTTTTTTTTTTTTTTTCTCCCTGCCTGATTAGATTAGCGACTCCTCCTCACCGCTCGTCCCTCAATTGTGTTCGTTTCTCCTTCCGTCCCATGATGACTATGTTGCGTAGGCTCTTGCGCATTGCAGCAGTACTCCCCCTGCTGAGTGCGCGAGTGCGCAGCGAAAACGACATTTCCGTGAAGGGCAGCCTAACGGTGGCGAACCTTAAAATTTCGTCCAAAGGTAACAAAGAAAATGGCATCCTGTTTCAGAGTAAAGAAGTAGAATACAAGATGGGGTTGGATCCTCTAGGGCAATTCATAATAAGTAGGAAAAACAAACCAATTATAAGTATTGATGAGCATGATAATATGAACCTCTTGAACCAGGATCTAGTTGTGAAGGCATTAACCCTCGATGGAACATTTAAGGTGCGCCATGTAAACCAATTTCAAATGATTGTACACGAGTCATTCAGTAGCAGTGCAAGTACGAGCGGATGGTTAGGTGACAACTTCGATAATGCCACGTCTGTGTGTGGTGGAGTCAATTTGTTAGGTGGATATGGAAAGCTGTCCAAGGGTAGGGTTCACAAAACATTTGAAAATATCCCAAGTCACACCCAGATTCGAATTAAAGCAAATTTTCATTTCATTGATGAGTGGAATTCTCATACGGCTTATTTAAAAGTTGGAAGGGATGACCAGGAGGATCTTTTCTATGTGTGGACAGATAGCCACTCTCAGGTGGCCCTTGAGAATGCTGTGAATATTTGTGGCAATGCCACTGGTGAGTCGAAATTCAGCTCCGTGATCGACGTGGTCATACCGCACAACTCGAGCAAACTCATCGTCGAGTTCGGCACAACCATCCAGGTTGATGACCCGAAGAGCGTTTCCTGGGGCGTCTCCAACTTCCAGCTGTTCATCGTGTGAAGGGTGTGTGTGAATCCATGCCCACGTGCATACGTGATGTACACGTACGTGTGATGGTATTGTCAGCTGTGGAGTACACCCCCTTGCGTCATCAACATCAAGCACGCGGTTTGGGCTACCCTCCGCGCACCTACACCTGCGTGCACTTCTCTTTTGCACGTCTGCCTATGCAGTTTGAACTCAAACCGGGCGAACGCCCCACATTATTGTAAAGACGGATTACGAAAAAAAAAAAAAAAAAAAAAAAAAAAAAGTCCGGTGGAGGAGGAGACCAAATATGGGGCAAATGGGGGGAGGAGATTGGAACCAAGATGGTGGTTCAGAGTGGCACCCCCACTTGCTTCTCCCCCGCAGAGTCACAAAAAAAATATATATAAAGGAACAAATGGCGCATGTGTATTCGTCATTACAAATGAAAAAAGCACAAACACACATGGGGAACGTATGTATGTGTGTGGTGCTAATTCAGGGGCTCTATTTTGAGTTTCTTGTTTCCAGCTCTTAGTCTTGATCCAACATCTTCACCTGCGAACGGGGAGGTGTGTAGAGGACAAATGGGAGGAAGGTATGCATGGGGATGATGGGGAGCACACCTATTCGCCGTTAGCCTTCTTTTGTTGTTCCACGCTATGCCCTCCCGTAATAAAATGGACTTACCGTCCAGGACGAGGACCACTCGGCCAAGGGACACGGGGTCGGTGAGCTCAATCCTCTTCCAAGCCTCATAAATTGCGGACGCCAAAATAGCAACGAGCGTCATCGTGGCCGTGTTATAAATGGCCTGAGACTTCCCCGGGACATTTCTTAAAACCACTAACACCTCATTGGTGCAGATGGTTAGGAGGCATTTCCTTGTGGCCTTTCTTAAGTCCATTAGGGTTAGTGACTGAGGTAGATAATTTTTATCGTTTGAGGAAATAAGTTGTAAAAAATTGATCCACATGTCTTCTTCTCTCTTCCATAACCTTACGTTTAACTCGATTGTATTTTTATTGGTGAATTCCAGGAGCACTTGTAGGGACGACAGGGGGGTCCCCATCTGGCAGGAGAATAACCATGGGGTTAGCAAATTTTCTTCGTTTTCAATTTGCTGGTATATTTTTTTTTCACTTTTGTTTTCTCTTCCCTCGCGGTCGATGGTTATATCTGTCACTTCCAGCTTGTCCAGCAGGACCACCACTTGTCTCTCCAACTTGATCAGCCTCTTCTCGAGGCGGTACTTGTCTGCGGGGGTGTAAAGCGGTTAAGCGGTCATGCGGTTAAGCCGTCATGCGGTTAAGCGGTCATTACGCTGTGTTTACGCGGCGGTTACGCTGCCATTACGCCACTGCGTAGTTGCGGCGCGGTGTTGTGCCCTCCATCCTCTAACTGCACCTTTTTCCGAGTTTTGGAGTTTATCATTTAGTTCCTTCACGATGGTGAGCAACGGGTCGTACTTGGTGACGATGAAGGTCTGCAGGTCGCTGCTGAATATTGCGGCATTCTGGTTGGTCGTCATTTTGGCCGTGAAGCGGTTGATCGGGTTAAGCGGTTGAGTGGTGAGGAAGTGGGGAGCCCAATGCCGCTACAAACACACACGCAAACTGCCGCGGTGCAAAAATGAAAATTGGGCGCAACTGGCAGTCGATGCGAAATATTTGCTCTTCAATCTGTGTGTGCGTGTGTCCGTTTACCCTTGGTGTATGGGTTTAGGGTTGTCTGCCCTCAGTGCATGTATCTCCTATGGCTTCCCCTCTTTTCTTTTTAACCGCTCTGCAAAAGATGGGTGTAGGAGGGAAGTCTTCACCCCGAGTGTGTGTGTGGCCGTGAGCGATTGATCTGTGGTTGGGTCCGTCCAGCGATTTGTCCACTCAGTGAGACAGCCCAACTGGCACACCGTCACGATACAACTTCCTCCGATATCGCAAATCGCACGAGCAAACAAATCCGGGTGGGAAAAATGCTGCGCGTCAAAATTTACACTGTGGCGGACAAGCGGCCACTTTGCAAAAAAAAAAAAA